CATATTTTATTGAGTGAAAATATATCCACAGTCATTCCACAGAGCACATGACATCTAATATAGGGATGCCGACTCGCTCTACACAAACTAAACAAAGCAGCCTCCGTCACCGTTACTAAAGCCACAGGGTCTCCTCTTAGAAGTTCCGGGGTCTGGTGAGAGCACTGTGTATCAGTGAACAGGAAGGTCTGTGTGGGAATGCAGCTGGGGATAGCAATATGATGAGAACCCAGTCTCCGAAGAGGACAAGTGGGATTTCCAAGAGTCAGCATCTGAAAAAATTTGCATCTGTGCCTCTCTCCACGCATGACGAAGCTTCCTGTTGAACACAGTGCCAGAATGCCGTTCAGCATTAGTGAATTTCTCTGCACCGTGCATGGCAGCCGGGGCACTGATTGGAAAGAGCAGGCTCTAGGCTGGGAGTGGTGTGCACACCTTTAATCCCAGCACTCAGGAAGCAGAAGAGGCAGGCAGATCTCTGTGAGTTCCGGACCAGCCTGGTCTACATAGTGAGTTCCAGGACAGCCAGGGCTACATAGTGAGACTCTGTCTCAAAGCACAAACAAAGAAAAAGAAGAAGAAAAAGGAAGGAAGAAAGGAAGGAAGGAAGGAAGGAAGGAAGGAAGGAAGGAAGGAAGGAAGGAAGGAAGGAAGGAAGGAAGGAAGGAAAGAACAGGCTGTCTGGCTACTTCCCCATGGTGTGACTTGGGAGATGCCCTGTTTTTCAGCCTTCGCTCCTATGAAAATGGGAATATAAGAGTGTCCACCTTGCAGTAAGGACTGAGGGTGAAATAAATAATATATTCAAGAGCTTGTCACAGAAGATAATCAGTAACTGGCAGCTAATGGGCCTTTTATTCTCCTCTTCTCTCCATCTCTCCCCTCCCCTCCCCTCCATGTATCCTGTCCTCTTTTGAGGGACTACCATGTGCTTAGATGGTTTAATCTAGTTCCCATTTAATCCTCACAGCTGCCTTCTGAGATCCCGTTCTTCTTATAGTGGCTAGAGAGGACAGTGGAACACATAGCAAGCAGGGGTTTGTCCACATCCTCCCGTGGGGTGGTCTGAATGAACCCTGACTTGAACCCAGGGCACTGACTCACAGCCCACAGGGTTCATCACATTATGTCACTTGGCAGGTGGCCCTCTTGATGCTGGAGAAAAAAAAAGTGTTTGCTCATCCCAGGGCTAGTTCAGCACAGCATGGGCCAAGCTGGGGAGGGCTCCAAACATGATGTCACACGGTCACAGAGAAAGCCGGGCGCGGCAGTGGACCATCAGTACATCACCATCAGCAATGGCACCTTGTTATTTGAAAGACACACGTGCATTCGCGCTCACACACCTGTACGTATAAAGTTAGGTATCCATCTCCGGGATCTATGTGCAAGTTCCCAGACAGAACACAATGCTGAGCACTGGGGTTTCGAAAGCCGTCCCATTTCTGCTGGTGATTTTCTAATGGAAACAACTCAGGCACTTTGACACTCTGCAAGTTAGTAAGTCGCTGCTGAATTCGGGGTGCTGTGGCAGAGGAGGGACGGGATGAGGGCTGGGATGTGACACGGAGGGAAGAAGCCCCAGGCCTCCTGCAGGGGTGGAAGTCTGAACATGAGTCACTTTGCAGCCTGAACTATCTGTGTCAGGCCAGCCTGGTAGGCACCATAAAAGGGCAGAGAAGAAGAGGACACACTGAAAGATGTCCTTTTAAGAGGGGCATTAATCCAAAGGCTGCCTGAGACCTTCCCCTGGCCTTCCATTCCCAAGACTCGTGAAAGAAAATGCCACACAGTTCAAGTGTAACTACAGACGCATCCAAAGCCAAAGCCTTGTTTCTTTCTAAAGCAAGTCCGTTTGGACAAAATATTCCTATTTCCATGAGAACACAGAGCGAAGAGATTAAATGAAAATCATGCATTTTAAACACACAAGTTCTGTGGAAAATGCCAGGGTGAAGAATCAGAAAGGAAGGACGTGGCTACATTGGAAACGACTCTATTATAACCAAAGGGATCTCCAAAGAGTTCAACGGGGTCTTTACATTCTTGAGGGTGATTCGACACAGATGTGGACAAAGCTCGCCACCTGCTGTCTACATTTGGTATTGCGCTTTGGCAAGCACTCCTAAGGTGGCGCCAGATTCTGGCAGAGGATACTTGAGTGTTTTGTAGCAACAGTGCTCAACACTAAGAACTGACGCATTAATCAGGTCTCAACAGATGCAACCAATATCAGATGTGGGGCCTCCTCTTTGTATACCTCCTGCACAATGGGATAAAAACGCGTCTCATTCTGAGCAGGCAGAGATTCTGTGTGGGTTAGCCCTCTGATCACCAACAAATGGCTTTCCCCGTCAGTCCTATGAATGGAACCAGTCTGAATATTTGGGGTCTGGTTTCTTTCACTGAATACTGTGTTTGTGAGAGTCATTCACGACATTATGTAATGAGCGGCTTGACAATTGCCTTTTTATACAAACAGATCACAGATCTCTAGCTTCCTTTTGAGGAGATTTGGGCTGTTCCTAGTTCATGGCTATTGAATACTGAGGCTGAGAACATACTTGGATGTGTATTTTGGTGGACAAATACGCAAAGATTTCTGCTGAGCATATATTACAGGTGATACTGCTGGGCCAAAGAGTGTGAAGATGTTCAGATTTAGGAGATAATGCCAAACAGTTTTCTAAACAAGTTCTATCTACTACACCCAAGCAGGTATGAGGGAGTACCACACCCGTGCCAACACTTGGCACGATCAATCTTTTCAAAAGGTTTAGTTAGGCCTTTTAGTGTGAGCATGGCGTTCTCTGACTATTTTAGCTCCCATTTCCCTGATGACTGATGAAACTGAACAGCGTGTTCTGGGCTCCTGGTCTACCTTCACCCCTCTGCTCTCGACCCTGGGGTGATGTTTTGAGTTTCTGCCTTGACTTCCACCCTGACAGACTATAACCTGTACTGAACGGTAAGCCGAATAAGCCCCACCCCTGACCCTTGTTGCTTGTGGTCCAGGTACTTCATCACAGCAACGCAAACAAAACTAGAACAGAGACAAACAAGAGACATGATGTGATGGAAAGATGGCTGATGACCGAGACGCTGCTGCGGGCTCTCCTCCCCTTCAGCAAAGCCACCTGAGAACGTGTATCACCGGCAAACCACAGGGGTAGACAGAATGCTGATTACAGTCTGGGGTTTAAATGCATTCATCTAAACACTAATATAGCAATTTGAAAAAAAAATTTAAGATGTGCTGGGAGTGGTAGCTCATGTCTTTAATCTCAGCACTCGGAAGGCAGAGGCAGGGGACATCTCTGAGTTCAAGGCCAGCCTGGTCTACAAAGCTAATTCTAGGACAGCCAGGGCAACACAGAGAAATCCTGTCTCGAAAAACAAATACACACACACACACACACACACACACACACACACACATGCATACACACATATATATGTATATGTATATATGTGTGTGTGCGTGCACGCACGCACATGTGTGTGTGTGTGTGTGTGTGTTAAGATGTACATTTGAATATCAGAAACTAATATACTCAACATTATACAGACTCATTAGGTCACCAAACACACACACACACAAAATAAAGAATGCAGTTTCTTCTGTGCCATGGGAACATTCATAAGGGCTGAGGGTGGATGGAGGGCCTCACAAAAGAATCAATCTCAGAGGTGCTTCTGAGCAGACATGCTTCTACCCATAAATGCCACAGCCAGAAAAGCAGTTCACACTGGGATCGCTGGGGAAAACAGTACATCTGCAGACTAAAACCCCTCATTTGGATGGTCTCTGGATTATCCAAAGCGAAGTTTCTAAACAGAGATACGCAATACTAAGAACACAGTGAGTGACACCACCGTTAAAACGTGAGGTAGAGGCTGGAGAGATGCTCGGCAGTCTAACAGCAGGTAGTGCTCCTGCAGAGGACCCCGGTTGGGTTTCCAGCACCCATATCAGGTAATCACAATCACCTTAACTTCAGTACCAGGGATCTGACGCCCCCTTCTGGCCTCCTCAGGCACTGCACTCATGTGCACAGACCCACACATATACACACATTTTCTTTTTATCTTAAAACATATGAGGTAGAGGGGAATTATGGAGACTCATTGAGAGTCAGATGGGAAATATTTTCTAGGCAAAATCCAAAGGGATAAATCAAAAAGGAAAAAAAAATGAGTGGATATGACTCTAATAAAATGAAGAATTTCTATATTATGAAGAACACCATAGACAAAAAAAAAGAGCAACAGATATAATAAAACACATGCAACATAATTCACATGTATAACATACATGAAAATCTTGATTATTAGTATGAAAAGCACAGAGAAATCCAAAAGAAAAATAAGATAGACCTTAACAGGCTTTTTGTGGAAAGAGAATCCCAAATGGCTCTCAGGCATATGGAGATATTCAAACTCATTAATTCAATAAGGAAAGTAAATAGAATTTAAAAATAATTGGGTAGCATGGTACACACTTCAAGGCAGCAAGTTAGAAAGAGTTACAGTGCCAAACACTGTCGGGGCTGTAACCAGACAGGACCCCATCCATCCTGCAGGAGGCTGTGTAGCTGGGCAGAGGGATGGGTCAGTGCCTAGAGGAACTGGCAGTGTACCGCTATCCTGTAACCTGGCAGTCCCATGGGGGGGGCGGGCAGAACCTCAGAAAAACACCTCTGTATCAGCGAAGCTTCCCGAGATAAATGGTAACAATGCTGGGGGGGGGAGGGGGATGAAGGGGCAGCAGGGATGGTCAGAGCAGGCAGGAAGTAAGTCAGGGGACATGGGGGGGTGGCATGCATATACTCCACATCAGGTGACAAGTGTCACTGGCGCCTGTCTTGGTTGGGGCTGCTCTGACATGACAGTGTGGCTCTTCTTTGCTGCACGATGGCCTTGGGAGGAGCCACGGACAGAGCCTCAGAGCCTCCAGTCATCCTGCAGACAAGCTCATAGCTGCAAGGAACTTAACTTACTGTGCAAAGGACAACTTGATCCGCGCTTGGATTTCTACCCACTCCTCCTTTATAATGTTCCCACACTGCAGCATCTCCTTGGAAAGTTTCTCAGCTTTTATCAAGTTCTCGGAGGCTTCTTTAAATCTGAAATACGTTCAGGAAAAGTCCCTCTGGTCCCCAGGTTCTGGAGCCCCATATCCTGGACTTTCCCTGTGCATACACTCCTTCCTATTATCCCCGAATCGCCTAGCAACTTTTTCCCTGTCTTGGAGAATCAGCTATAAGAATCACAGCAAGGGTGCTTTCTGTTTGTGAAGATTAGAAACCAAAGGATACTTCTGAAGGGCGAGCAGGGCTCTGCCCATGGTATAGAAAAGCTCTATGGAACACTTGAAGATGGCTGTATTGTCGTGATAGGGATTCTCAATGGAGCTGGCCAGGATTTCTTTGGCTTTTTCGGCATGTTGCTTTGCTTGTAGTGACAGCCCTGTGGACAGAGACAGAGAAGGGTCGGTGTCTCTTTCATCTCGGCTGGACAGGAACATGATTCTCCACAGCCAGGAGATCTGGAGATCACCGCATGGTGTCCAGCAGCACACGGACATAGATCTGGGAAGCAGGAACTAGTACCTGACTGGAACAACCAAAGAATCGTTTGGATACCAAGTATTCAAGAGGAAAAACATTTCCCAAAATGGCCTTTGGAGAAATCAAATAAGCACAATGTGCTGGAACTGAGCAGCTTTGACACATCACCAGCATCAGATGTAAAATATAAATAATTACCAAAACACAAATGGAATGCAAGGACTGTAGCATTCTGGGTAGGAAGCAAGATATTCAGGAATTGTGATCCTGGCTGAGTGACAGCAATCTAAATGAAATACTAAAAATTCTGAGTCTTCTGCTCATCCATTTACAAGCATAATATTAAAGCGTTCTTTTAGCATAACACAAATACAGTGGCTATAAATACTTATAAACACAACCCCAAGGAGGTAATAGATGACTGTGCTGTAATCTCTTGTTCCTGTGCAGCCACAGAGGAACAAGAGACAGAGTAATAAATGTTATTACTGATTTCCCCATGTGTTCTAGTGTTCTTCTAGGGGCTGATTAATCTGTGTGTGTGTGTGTGGGGGGGTGATACTGAGGAATACCAGCCTGGGAGTCTGTTCCTTTACCCTCCCCACACACTCCCACCTTCCGCCCCCACGCTGACACCACCTTCCACTCATATTCATATATCTCCAGCCCTATGTTCTGAATTGCATCTAATCATATCTCAGTTCTCTGTAAAAGCTGTCAAAATACGAAGTTAATTCCATTCCTGTGTCTATAAAACAGAAACAATATACATCCTAATGGAGAGAAGCAAGCCTATGTTCTTGGTGTAGGAACTCTTTCCGAATTCTATGTGTCCTATATTTTAAAGGCACAGCTTTAACTTGGCTGTCAGGAATTTATCACTGTTAATTGTCTCTATGATCTACCTATAGTAATGGTCTAGGATTCCAGGGGGGTCCCTTCCTTAGAACTTGAACTTATGGAGATAGCACAGGTTCAGTTTCAAGAACAGAGACTCTGCAGTGAGACTTCCGAGCCTGAATCCTCTGCTCCATCCTTCACTATGACACTGGCCTCAGCTGCCTTGACCGTGAAGAGGAGAAACAAGAGTACCCGACCCTCCACAGGTAGAAAATTCGAAGTCTGAATAGGTTTTATAAGACAATTAGCATGGTGGCTGACCCTCAGTGAGACCTTGCTGAATAGTGAAGACAGACTCAGAGAGATCCATGCAGAAGTGAGTGGGCTGCAGAAGGAAGGGAGGATTTGAACTCCCAGACGGCAGGACACTGGTACTGGTACGTGATTCCCAGGTCTGAGTCTCAGGTCAGCTGCTTATTAACAATGTGATTTTTGCAGCAAGCTGTTTCAACTCCGATGCATTTTCTCTGGATCTAGAGGAGGTGGTAATGAGATGATCTTCAATGCTCCCTCTGGCTCTGACGGCCTCTGACTAACAGGTGAGAATGGGCTGGTCTTGTGGTACTTTCCAGTTGTGAGGCCACTCACTGGACCCTGGGAAGTCTGTGTGCCGACATCCTGTCACTGCTCTCAGCTGATAAACTGAGTGTAGAGGGGTGCTGGGGTACACCTTGTGTGGGCCAGCAGAGTCAGCAAGTCGAACACACCCCGTGATGAGTATCTTATCTACCTTCCTGTGTCCATCCCCACATTCTATCTTCCTCTTAGGATGCTCAACTCCTGCGCATCTGAAGCTGGCCCAAACCAGCTTCTTTCCCAGAACACAGGAGAAGCAAAAACCAGGTCTGACCTCTCAGAATATGCCTTCATTTCAGTATATAATCCAACGTGGTCTAAATGGGGGGCCTCCAAAACACTGAGATGTTTCGGTGAGTGGGAAAGTCTTTTTTTCTTGGTCATGCTTAGTAAAGAAACCTAAAGTTGCTGGTAGACTACGGGCAAAGCTTGGCTAAGATGGAGCTAACGCCAAGACAAACAGAGCCAAATGATATGAAAAGAATACGCTGGATCCTGGCCACATAGTTGGGAGACCAGCTGTGGCTGTCTAAAGCAAGTTTCACCTTAGCTTTTCAAGCTGCCCAAGCTAATGCCAGCTTGGGTCTTTGGCTACTGATTCTCAGGAGTGACTCTCTCTTTCAGCCCCCTGCCTCCCACCTCTCAAGAACAAGTCCAGTCAAAGCCTCCACTCCATGTCTTGGCTTTTCTTCTGACACCTTCGGATCCTTCAAGAACTCTAATTTCAAGACTACAAAAACCCCGTTACAATCTTCCTTTCTTCCTGTTGATACCTGTGTGTATGTTATACACCTTAATGATTCCTCCTAAAAGGAAATTCCCGCTTAGTACTTGGAAAGGAGAGCCATGAAGACCTGACCCCTCTGGTGTGAATCAGTTTGGGACAGGAGGAAGATAAACCCGTCAGCTGATGAGCTGATCCTCACTGGCCTGAGAGACGCTCACCTTTCAGCTGGAGGTAGCCTTGAGCCAGATTAATGTAGGCTTCTGCTAGTTTCCAGTGTGAGTCACCATAGCAAATTCTTGTCAATGCCACACAGCGCACAAGCTCCTGGATGGCCTGTTTGTACTGTCAGAAAAAGAAAAGGAGTTTACCACACAGACAGCTTAGCACTTAAGAGTCACAAGGCCTACTTGTGAGTACACCCACCTGATAAATAATGTTTACTATGTGCTACGCACTTGTGATGTGTCAGAGAATCAAAAATGATCTGTTTGGGGTGGTGGAGTGCTCATCTGGTTAGATGAAGTCAACAACAATTCATTTAAGAAGTAAATACAATTTAATGGTGGAAAATATGGTGGGATGAAGAAAAGCCAGGCAGGTAGAACAGACATTTATTTTATCACCTCCCAGGTGTTCCAGAGACCCTTCAGTAATTAGCTCCTGTAGGTGCAAGTGAAAGTGGACCTAGCTCTCCACCTAAAACTCCTTTGCAGCTGTGATGACTAATACTGTCACTTTGACAGGATCTGGAATCGCCTAGGAGACACAGCTCTGGGTCTTCTGGAGTGGGCATCACTATTTCATGGGTTGAGATTCTAGACTGAATAAAAAAAGATAAGGCAAGCTGAACACCAGCCTTCACCTCTCATTTCGCTTCTCTTCCTGACTGCATGCAACATGACCAACTGCTCCTGCTGCCATAATGGCGTGCACCCTCGACTTGTGACCCACACAAACATCTTCCCTTTAAGTTGCTTTTGCCACAGAAATGCAGGCATGACTCAGACCGTCTCCTATGACATCAGCAAAGAGCGTGAAGTCAGTAAGCCCGACAGGCGGTGAGCCGGACAGGAGGTGAGCCCGACAGGCAGGCGGTGAGCCCGACAGGCGGTGAGCCGGACAGGAGGTGAGCCCGACGACAGGCGGTAAGTCCGACTACAGGCGGTGAGCCCGACGACAGGCGGTGAGTCCGACGACAGGCGGTGAGCCCGACAGGCAGGCGGTGAGCCCGACCACAGGCGGTGAGCCCGACCACAGGCGGTGAGCCCGACCACAGGCGGTGAGCCCGACCACAGGCGGTGAGCCCGACAGGCAGGCGGTGAGCCCGACAGGCAGGCAGTAAGCCAGAGGAGAAAGTAGCTTTGTTTTGTTTCCTTTCTGGACCCTGGGACTTATACCTGTCTCAAGCTGGCCTTTAACCTGGATACGTAGCCCAGGCTGGCCTTGAGTAGTGAGGAGCACATGTGCAGTCAGGGTCAGTACAAGGAGGAAGCCACAGTTTTCCAGTGCCAGGTCTTCGCGCGCAACAACACATTCGCAGTAAGCCTAGATGTCTTCAGGCGGAGCTCTAGGATCCCGTTTCACACTGCCCAAGGAGATGAGGCCTGTGTCTCCTTCTCTCCAAACCTGTGTTTCACTGAAGCCTGGCCAACCCACTACGGAGGAAAAGAGGCAGGACTAAACTCTGCTCCATCCAAGGTCCTTTTTGTTTTATTTTGTTTTTCAAGAAAGGGTTTTCTATACAGCCCTGGCTATCCTGGAACTCGTTGTGTAGACCAGGCCGGCCTGGGCTACCAAGTGAGTTCCAGGAAAGGCTCAAAGCTACACAGAGAAACCCTGTCTCAACCCCCCCCCACACACACACACACAAAGTCCTAACTTCCTACATACCAGAATGCAGCTGTATTTGGAGATACGGCCTTTTAGGGGGATTTTAATAAAATGATGCCCTTGGGGTTAGGGAGATGGCCCAGTGGTTAAGAGTGCTTCTTGCTCTTACACAGGACCTATATGGCTCATAGACCACTCAGGCTGAATGGCTCACAACTGCCAGAAACTCCAGCTCCAGGAAATCCAATGCCCTCTTCTTCTCTCCAAGGACACACACACACACACACACACACACACACAAATGACATAAACAAAGTAAACCCGTGCAGTGCAGCAGCAGCCCACAGCGACCCCAGCACCCTCTGCTAGCCTGCCGCCTGGGCACCCCCTCTCAGCCCCGCCAAGTCAAGCACTGCCATTGCAGATGGCTGCCCTCACAGAGCTTTGCCTTCACTGTGTCGTCTGTAGATCTGGTAAGACACCTGGGAATTCTCCTCCTCCTCCTCCTCCTCCTCCTCCTCCTCCTCCTCTTCTTCCATTTCTTCTTCTATTCCTTCTTCTTCTATTTCTTCTTCATTTTTATTTACTTTGTTTCTTTTTTAAAATTAGACATTTTTATTTATTTTACGTCCCGATTGTACTTTCCCCTCTCTCCTCTCCTCCCATTCTCTCTCCCTTCCTGCCTCCTCTCTACCACTCCCCCCCCCTCCAGAATCCACAGTCTCAGGTCAGAGAGGGACAGGCCTCTGATGGGAGTCAATAAAGCACAGCACATCAAGTCAGGCAGGACCAAGCTCCTCCCCCTGCATCAAGGCTGGGTGAGGCAACCCAGCATGGGGAATAGGTTCCCAAAAGCCAGCTCAAGTGCCAGGGACAGGTCCTGATCCCACTGCTAGGGGCCTTACAAACAGACCAAGCTACACAAGTGTCACACACATGCAGAGGACCTAGGTCAGTCCCATGCAGGCTCCCTAGCTGTCGATCTAGATTCTGTGAGCTACCATGAGCTAAGGTAAGCTGTCTCTGTGGGTTCCCCTATCATGATCTTAACATCCCCTTGGTCATTCAACCTCTCCTCCCTCTCTTCAACTGGATTTCTGGAGCTCATCTCAGTGTTTGGCTGTGGATCTCTGCATCTGCTTCCATCAGATGAGGCTCTCTGTTCACCAATCTGAATATAGGAAATGATCAGTTCAGCCACCCTCTTCACTACTGCTAGGAGTTTTAGCTGGGGCCATCCTTGTGGATTCCTGGGAGTTTCCCTGGCACCAGGCTTCTCCCTAACCCCGAAATGGGTCCCTCATCAAGACATCTCTTTCATTACTCTCCCCCTCCATCCTGCCCCCAACCTGCCCAACCTGATCCCTCACGTTCCCATTACCCTTTCACCCCCACCCCTGCCCCCAGTTTACCTGGGAGATCTCTTCTATTTCCCCTTCCCATGGAAATCCATGCATCCTTCTTTGGGCCCTCCTTGTTACCTAGCCTCTCTGGGGCTGTGGATTGTAGCCTGGTTGTCCTTTACTTAACAGCTAATATCCACTTATGAGTGAGAACATACCCAGTTTGTCTTTCTGGGTCTAGGTTACCTCACTCAGGATGATTTTTTCTAGTTCCATCCATTTGCCTGAAAATTTCATGATGTCATTGTTTTTTATAGCTGAGTAATACTCCATTGACACCTGGGAATTCTTAAGTTGGGGGTGGGTGGGTGGGAATTAGTTTTTTTTAAAAAAAGCTTTTCCTCACATTAAGAATGGGGATTAATACTATGATGCAGGGAGTTAGGTCTCTGTATGGTTCCACAATGGAGATGGTTTGGAAATGGAAAAATTAAATAAAGGGATAATCAACTTAGCTGATATTGACATATGTCAACTATAATTTTTATCAGTTTGGTAATTCATGTTTTACCCTTAAAAAGTGGTTTGATATCAGTGCCAGATATGAAAAATTGATTGATAAGAAACAATCCTTAGAAAGACCTACTAATGAAACTAAGAAAAAATATTCACACACAGACAGAAGAATTTAGAGCAGAACCTACCTCACCACTGCATTATGAAACTGAAGCAGAGTGGTCCAAGGTTATTAGAAAACCAACTTTAATTTATCCAGTTACCATACAAGAATGACCACCAGATGATAGGTACCCCAAAGCTATGCAGAAGTCAACTGGCATCCTATAGACATGTTAGATTTGAAGAGATTTAAGGACAAAGTCATTTCATATGGTATGCCCTCACCCTTTGTGAAGTAGATGTTAAATTCATGGGCAACTCAGAACAAAATTATTCTATACGACTGGAAAGATATAGCTACAGCTGTATTGGAAGCTGGTCCTCAGTTACAGTGGAAAACATGGTGGAGAGAGGAAGCTAGGGACATAGAACGATGAAGTAGGGGTAGAGCTATGGAAATTTCCCAAGATCAGCTTCTCTGTGAAGGACAGTATGCTGATTTGCAAAGACAGTTTAGATTTGATGGTCACACCTTGGCCCTATAGGGTACAGCAGCTTTGAATGCTTGAGACAGGGTTGAAGAATCAGGAAAAAGAACTGGGTCATTTACTAAAATTATACAAGGTCCAAAAGAAGCCTTCACCATTTTTTTTTTTTTTAAGAAAGATTGACTTCAGCTGTAAATAGAATGCTATCAGACCCTGAAGCTAGAGAAATATTAATTGAATCTTTGGCTTTTAGAAAGGCTAATTCAGAATGCAAAAGTATGATTAAGCATTTAAAGGCAAGATCAGCACCCATAGATGAATGGATCCAAAATACAGCTGATATTGAATTTCACACTTAGGATAATACTTGGATAGAAGAAGTGATTTCTAAAAATTTTAAGAAAAATCAAAAGGTCATATGTTTTAATTGTGGTTAAAAAAAAACCAGTTATCTGAAAAGGGATTGTAGGCAAGATATTCCTGGAAATGTTTTTTCTAGAGATAACCCAAATAGAAGGCCCCTGCCTTCTAGAATATGTAGAAGATGTAGCAAAGGCTGACATTGGACTAATGAATGCAGATCAACATAGGACAGACAGGGTAACCCCTTTGCCATTGGCAAACAATTTAGGGTGCCTCTTGCAGGCCCCAATATCAAATTTGGTTCAATCATTCCCTGTCAGCATTGGCAAACTCATCCACAGAGCAATTAAAAGACTTAATATCTATTGTTTAAAACCATACTGCTCCAGATGACAAAACAGCTTCAGTTAGATAATACAAAATTTTCAGGAGAAACCATAAATCAAGTGTCTTGGCAAACTTCTATAAATGATCAAAGACAGAAAGTGAAAATACAAATAAATGGCATTGTAATAGAAGGTTTACTAGACATAGCTGTGGATGTAACCATTTCACCAAAATCATGGCATCTGGATTGGCCTCTTCAGGAGGTAGGGATTGGAATTTTTTTTTTTTTTTTTTAAAGATTTATTTATTTATTATGTATACAGCATGTATGCCTGCAGTCCAGAAGAGGGCACCAGATCTCATTACAGATGGTTGTGAGCCACCATGTGGTTGCTGGGAATTGAACTCAGGACCTCTGGAAGAGCAGTCAGTGCTCTTAACCTCTGAGCCATCTCTCCAGCCCAGGGGTTGGAATTTTATCTCAGGTAAAACAAAATACAAGGTGGTTTGAGTGTAAAGGTCCAGAAAGACAGGTTGGGAAATTAAAGCCACATGTGGCTAACATAGCTATGAATTTATGGGGATGTGATTTGTTTCAACAACGGAAAAACCCAGATTAATATTCCTCCAATTTCAGAAACAAAGTATAAACTAACATATGCGCTGAGAGAAATAGTCAAAGGTATTATCAAGAACAGTCACCAACCGTTCAGGCTGGACATAAACAAGGCACAGCAGCTGCTGAGCTTTCAAAGGTACCAACATCCCTATCTTTAAAATGGGCAACTGACAAACCTGTCTGGGTGGAACAGTGGCCTCTGATATCAGAAAGATTCCAGGCCTTAGAACAGCTGGTACAGGAGCAGCTAAATGTTCAACATATTGAAGAATTGACCAGTCCTCGAAATTCTCCTATATTTGCCATTAAAAAGAAATCTGGAAAATGGAGAATAGTAACAGATCTAAGAGCCATTAATATAGTGATCCAGACAATGGACTCTTTACAGCTAGAATTCCCTTGCCTTCTTTATTACCTAAAGGATAGTCTATTATAGTGAATGATTTAAAAGACTGTTTTTTTAAACTATATTTTTACAAGAACAGGATAGAGAAAAATTTGCATTCGCCATGCCTACTTATAATAATTCCCAGCCTGTTAAAAGTTATCAGTGGAAAATTCTTCCACAAGGGAAGTTAAACACCTTTTGTCCATATTTTGTACAATAGCTATTGGGAAATAATTTGTAAACATGTTCTTCAATCTATAATTTACCATTATATAGATGATATCTTACTAGCTGATTCAGATGCAGATACCTTAGAAAAAATGTTTGAAGAAGTAAAGAAAAATTGCTCTGTTGGGGATTACAAATTGCTCCTGAAAAAAATACAGAGAGGAGAGTCTATTAATTACCTATGATATAAGATAGGTTTACAAAAAATTCAACCACAGAAAGTATAAATCAGGAGAGATCAATTATGAACTCTTATTAATGATTTTCAAAAATTGCTGGGAGATATTAACTGGCTATGATCCACAGTCAGATTAACTACTCAAGAACTAGGTAATTTATTTCTAAATTTATAAAATGATAAGGACTTAAACAGTCCAAGAAAATTATGACCTGAGTCTGAGAGAGAATTGGCTTTGGTAGAAAAGAAACTACAGGATGCACATGTGGTCCAGAGCTTGATTGTATCCTGGTATTACTACCCTCTACTCATTCTCCTACAGGAATTCTTATGCAGAGAGAAGATAATATTTTAGATGGATATTTTTACCTCACAAACAGAGTAAAAATTTAAAGACCTATGTAGAAAAGGTTTCTGAAATGATTCTGGAAGGAAAATTGAGACTTCATCAATTAACAGGAATAGATCCAGTAGAAATTGTGGTCCTTTTACTAATGCTGAAATTGCCTTATTATGGGCAGAAAATGAACATCGGCAAAGAACTTGCAGTAATTTCTTGTGAGAGATTCGCAACAAATATCCCCAAAGCAAGAGACTTTAGTTTATAAAAAGAACTAATTGGATCTTTCCTCACATTGTAGGGGAACACCAATTTCTGGAGCCCCTACATTCTATACTGATACAAATAAATCAGGAAAGGCAGGTTACAAGTAAGGAAATTTAAGTAAAGTGGCTCAAAGCCCTTATGATTCTGTTCAAAAGTCAGAATTATATGCTATTCTCATGGTACCATTAGATTTTCCAGAACCTCTTATAGTTAGTGACTCTTGATATGCAGAAAGTTGTTTTATATATCAAAACTGTTGAATTTATACCAGATGATTCAGAATTAACTTTGTTATTTATTCATTTACAAGAAATAATCAGAAATAGAAATCATCCCTTGTGTATAACGCACATCAGATCCCATATGGGTCTACCAGGCCCTTTAGCACAAAGTAATGATGGAATTGATCCGCTATTGGTAGGAAATGTGCTAGAAGCCTCAGAATTTCTTAAGAAACACCATATTAACAGTAAAGGTTTGAAGAAAGAGTTTTCTATCACTTGGTAACAAGCCAAGGAAACTATAAAGAAATGTCCTACTTGTTCTTTGTATAACCAAACTCCATTACCTCCTGGAAGTAACCCAAAAGGTACCCAACAAAATGAAATGTGGCAAATGGATGTGTTTCGTTTGTACAGTTTGGGAAGTTAAAGTATGTACACCATACCAGAGATATATATCTAATTGCACTTTAAAAGATATGCAAATGGACTAGACATTGTGAATGCAATTCTTACCTGACAATTGTTCTTATTGTATATAGTTTTACTGTGTTAGAATTAAAACCTTCCCTAAATAAAAATTTAGACAAAAAGGGGGAAATGCTGTGGGAAATTTTTATAACACTCTGACACTCCTGAGACTGCCAATAAAGTTTACCTTGAATCAGAGAGCAGAGTTAGCTGCTAGCTGACTAGAATTAGCCATAGAGGTTTTGGAGGCCCAGGACATATAGAGAGACACAGGAAAGCAGTAGGAAGGGGCTTAGAAAGATTTGTGGCCCCTTTTGGATTGAGGAAGGAGAGAGAGAGAGGAGGTCACTGGTAGCATCTTCGCTGCTTCTCTGATCAATCAGGTTTTTACCCCAATATCTGACTCCCAAGTTTCACTTAATAACAGAACAATATAAGTAATCACTGCAGCAGATTGAAGGAGACTGAAGAAATACTGCATCTATACTCAGTGTATATCTGAGTATATCTCATATCTATTCATAGATCTGGTTTTTTTTCCTGGGGGGGTTGTTTTTACAAATTATGTGACACTTTTACATAAGTATTAGTTTCCTAATTTCAATCACTGTGCTGTGGTTATATGGAAGAATATTCTTATTCTTTTTCTCTCTCTTTTTTTTTATTTAAGAAAAAATTTTATTCATTTTATATACCAACCACAGATCTCCCTCTCATTCCTCCTCCCACTCCCCCCAGCCTTAATCTCCACCTCCATCCCCTTCTCCAAAAGGGTAAAGTCTCCCATGGGGAGTCAGTAAAACCTCATATATTCAGTTGTGACAGGACCAAGCCCCTTCCCCCTCCATCAAGGTTGAGCAAGGTGTCCCACCATAGGTAATGGGCTCCAGAAAGCTAGTTCATGCACCAGGAATAGATCCTGATCCCACTGCCAGGGCCCCCCCCAAACAGACCAAGCTACACAACTGTCTCTCATAAGCTGCTCTAGAACTTGTCACGATAACCATCTTTCTGACATCTCAATCCAAACACATATAAATTCCTCTAAGCCTGTGACCTTCCCCTATGTGCATCTGGCACTTTCACAACACTAGGAAGACATTAGACATACAATAGATATTTGTGCGATAAATGAGTGGCCAGACAGGGCCTGGCATATGAGAATGAGTGAGTGACTGGGTAACCTTTGTGAGGGGGGGATGGGAAGGAAGATGCAGGGAACAAGAAAGGAAAGAGCAGCAGAACGGGCTCCAGGGAAGCAGAAATTTCATGCAATCTGTGCTGTGATCCACTGTAGGTCTGGCACATACTGAAAATCAATATATTCTTGAACTTTCTGTTACTGTGATCAAAATACCCCATAGAAACAACTAATGAGGAGTTTGCTTTAGCCCAGGGGTTCTGAGGGCCCAGTCCATCACGACAAGGAGAGTGTGGGAGGAGGGTGGCCACATCACAGCAGTCGGGAAGCAAAGGGAAATGCTGGCCCTCAGCACATGTCTTCCTTTCTCCTCTTCCATTTCCCTAGAGCCTACGCCCATGGGGATGCACCATACGTACACACAATCAGCAAGAGCCTTTAACTTCTGGTTGTTCCTTTCCGGAAACACCTTCACAGACATGCCACCACCACCCACCCGCCCCCATCCCACTCTCCTAATGATTCGGAATCCAGTCATGCTGACAATGAAGGCCAATCATTATAGCCAGTAAACGTTGGCTATTGGCATGCCAACCACAGAGCTAGGAATGGGAGAGCCTACACTCATGACGGAAGGCAGGCTCTTTCTTAAGGGCTCTCTTGAATCTCACAGGCTTGAGGTTAGAAACGTAGTCCCATCTACCTTGCTTCTCAGGCTTGTGATGCGGGCTCCACTCTCGGGGAGCAGGTGCGTGACCTCAAGGTTCCTTACCTCATGGCTGTTGGAGTAGGACTTTGCTCTCTCTTCGCACAGGTGGAGTTTCTCTCGAGGGGGCTGGAACAGTGCTGTCTGAGGCAGCTTGTTGGGGGTCCTCTTTTTAGAAGTGACGCTGACAGCAGCAACGACTTCGTCAAGGTGGCTGGACATGGGGACTTCCTGTGATTCCTGCATGTTCTCATACACATTGTCCTCTAATCGTCAGGTGAAAAAGAAAGGCATTAAGCAATCGTTTTCAGAGCCACTTTTAAAAATTCATACTTTTTTCTCTAGAACTCTAGGTTAACAGCTAGGAAAATGCCAACATTATGCCTATCACTTCTTTAAAATGAAAAACCTTCCATCTCAAAAGGGCATGGTGGCTGGTGTTGAGTTCTTTTTAAAGTTTCAGGCTTATTTCCCCTAAACAAAACACAGATATCCCAACAGAAATGACGTTGAGTCCAAACAATTCACAAGGATGCTGTATGAAATGAGTACATATTGAATAAACTGAACTCCAACTGACCCTGAGGCAGAAAGCAAATGATTGTGGTTAATCTTTCAATACGGATAAGACGGAGTAATTTATCTTATTGCCTAAAATAATCACAACAACAAAAACAAAACAAAACAAAACAAAAACAACAAAACCCTAGACAGACAAAAAAGTTACAAAACAAAAAGATTTAAAAGACAGGACCCTGGCCAGGCACACGCCTTTAATTCCAGCACTCGGGAGACAGAGGCAAATGGATCTCTGTGAGTTCAAGGCCAGGCTGGTCTATAGAGCAAGATCCAGGATGGGCACCAAAGCTACACAGAGAAACCCTGTCTTGAAAACAAAAACAAAAACAAGACAGGATCTGGCAATAGACAGTGATTTTTCCCTCCTATCCTCCCAGTCCCTCCCCATCTCCCCTCTGCCCTGGACCCCATCCACTCCTCCTCCGTTTCTATTCAGAAAAGGGCAGGCCTCCCGTGCATATGCATAAAACACAGCATATCAAGTTGCAGTAAGACTAAGCGCCTCCCCATGTATTAAGGCTGGGCAAGGCGACCCAGTATGAGGAGTAGGGTCCCAAAAGCCAGCAAAAGAGTCGGAGACAGCCCCTGCTCCTCAAACTATACAACTCTCACATATTTGCAGCAGGCCTAGGTCAGTCCCACGCAGGCTCCCTGGTTGTCAGTTCAGTCTCTGTGAGCCCCTATGAACCCAGGTTGATTCTGTGGGGTTTCTTGTGATGTCCTTGACCCCTCTGGCTCCTACAATCTTTCCTCCCTTCCTTCACCAGGATTCTCTGAGCTCGGCCTAATGTTGACTGTGGGTCTCTGCATCTGTTTCCATCAGTTGCTGGATGAAGCCTCTCTGATGGCAACTGGGCTAGGCACCAATCTATGGGTATAGTGGACTATCATTAGGCATCATTACATTGACTTTTTTTTTCTCCAGTCCTGTTTGGTTCTATCCCAGGTCTCTGGGCCATCTAGCCTCTGGGTCCTGGGCCATGCAGCCTCTGGATCCTGGCCTTCTAGGCAGTGTTAGAGGTATGCATAGGTCTCAGGCTGGACCAGTCATTGGTAGGCCACTCCCACAATCTCTGAAGACACTGATTCTTGAGAGATGAAAAAAGTCAATGAGCAGGGTGGCGGCGGCGGCAGCAGCAGCAGCAGCAGCAGCAGCAGCGCACGCCTTTAATCCCAGCACTCAGGAGGCAGAGCCAGGCGGATCTCTGTGAGTTTGAGGCCAGCCTGGTCTACAGAGGGAGTTCCAGGACAGCCAGGGCTATACAGAGAAACCTTGTCTCAAAAAAAAAAAAAAAAGAAAGAGAGAAAGAAAGAAAGAAAGAAAGAAAGAAAGAAAGAAAGAAAGAAAGAAAGAAAGAAGAAAGAGAAAAGGAGGAAAGGA